CCCCCCCCCCACAAGAAACCTCTCTGGATCCGCCTATGATGATATAAAATCCTGATATCCACAACAATAAAATGTGATGTCGGCTTTAAGTGAGCGATATTATCAAGGCAATATACGTTTGAACAAAGTGTTTCACTGATCATATGCTCGCGTGAGTCACACGAGAAAAACTGTTTCGTTAGGAAATTTATCAAAATATTTAATATTTCAAAAAAATTGCAAAAAAAAATTCAGAAAATCCCCGTACTTAAATGCGTACGAAACTATTAATATATTTAATATTTAATATAATAATGTTTGATGCATACGCTATATAGGAAATAATTAAATGTTCAATACAATCGCTACCTATTTTCATTAACTTCATAATTTTGAATACTTTTTTGTCTAAGCCTAAAAAACTGATTTGGAGATATTACCTCTGTGATGCTACTGAGATATTACCTTAGTAATGTTACCTGGCGCAGCTATCCCAAGCCCTTCGATCCGGAACTCCACATGTGCGTCACCTCTTTGAAGGCTGCCTAATTCGCAGTTTACCTTCTTATAAATACTACTAGGCTCATACGCAAAGTCCACCGATTGCCAGCAACGCCATAAGGCAGGCCTGTCAGATTTTACTTCCTAGTGTGATAGTAATGTGACAACCCATGCACCATCCACTGAGTCGCAGAGCGCGACTATTTATATGGCTACGAAGAATCAGTTCAGTCAATCTTTGGACCATTGCTATTTTCGTCTCAGATAGCACTCGCTTTTCTGCTTTCATCAGTGACCAAGTTCGGCGTCCGCTAATTAACGCTTTGTATTATACGCAACTGCATTATTTGCGCTTTGAATGCTAAAATGATTACCTGCTTCAAATTAAAAATGCTATCAATCCAACCCTCCAATGATTTCCAGGCATTCAAAACATGAACTGTATGCTTCAAAACAATTTCAACAATCGTATCTGAAATTGAAAAAGGAAAAATAACAGAACAATTTGGTAATCTAGAAAGAGAAGCAAGTACTTCCGTAGTCAATTTTTACCGGTATGTGGTTAACTTGATACTCTGACCAGCTGCTGTCATGTGGTTGATGAAGTAACTGACAGCTTTTCTATTCCTTTGCATTCTGAGCTCACCTCATCTACGTGATTCCATATAGACATTCAGGTTACTAGTGATAAACCAAAATTAAACTGCTGAAACTCTGAGGTACCGTGCCATACATCCCATCATTTTGAACGTCCCCAATTCTTTAATAAGATGGGATACGGAACCCCGTAGGGCTCCCCGTCATAGGCAAAAAAGTAGCAACGTTCAAAATGCAGCGGTGCTGCCTGACACACATCAAGATATCTTGGAACGACAAAAGTCTTGCGAGTTGCTTTCGTTTGAAGATCTGTTGAACTAGAAACTCCCTAAGCAGACAAAAAAAAGTCGCCAAAAGAGCAGCTGTCGCGGGAAAACCATGAAAAGCTGGAAAAGAAGCCACCACAATGGAAAAAGTTGCACACCGCCTTTGGGAGACAGCAAAGAAAAGAAAGGTGTATTCTGCCTTGAAAAGCAGGCATACAGCAAATGTTCTGCCACGTTGATCTTGGAACACAGGAGCCGATAGCGTAGTGGTTGGCACGTCGCATCCGGATGTGAAGGGAAGTGGTTCGATTTCCTCCTGGTCCATAATCTTTTTGAAAAGGGGCTCCGTTCACGATACCAATCATTAAGTGATGCAAATGAGTGGGAAAAATTGTCAACAACATAGACTATGAGTTACATCTGGTTTACCATAAGTAATCTGTCGTTAGCAGTGATGAGAAAAAAGTCAAAAAAGACATAGAAAGTTACAGCTTAGAATTAGCAAACTAGAAACTGTACCAATTAGAATAAGAGCCGAATTATGCTTATTACACTTGCACAGCATCGTGAAAATTCTTTCCAGCAAATCGCCGATAGATTCAGTGTTTGCTCCTGCCAGTAATACCAGCATTGATTTGCCCATTGACAAGATGCCTGCATCTCCAACAATCCTGAAATAAAATTTACGCATATGAAGCTGGTCGCTAGAAAGTCTCCAACTGCTTACAGTGGAACACAAAAGCTAGTTGCGTAATGTTTAATATCATGATCCGATAATGTTTAAAATCGTTGTCATCATCATCATCATCACGATTTCGATGGCAACCT